TCTTCTTTGATTGGTCGATGTGAGAACTTTGGCTTTGGATTCATGACGCTCAATTGAAATGCGCACTATCAGGAATTCTATTACTTTCTCTCTATACAAACGACAGAGAAAATGGCTTTATTCAACGAATTGCAAAAGTTCTTTCCCCATCTGGTCAGAAACACGCATGATATAATATTCGTGTTATAAACGGGTTTAACTGGAACCTGATAACCCAATTTCATTTGAAATTTCATTTTCAAAAATTTTGAAATTTCAAAAATTTTTGAAATTTTGAAATTTTGAAATTTCATTTTCAAATCTTTATTACTGAGACCAAATCATTTTTAATTTGTTGTTTTCTCTCTTCCTTACATATATATATATATATATATATAGGAAGTAGAGCGTAATATATGTTGAGTTAGAAAAATACAAAGACTACGCTTTCGCCTACACACCTGTTTCATGATTGCTCACTCATCACCCTGGTGAATGAACGATCACGAAACAGGCTCGTCCTTGTATTTTTTCTAACTCAACATATACAGAGGATGTTACACGGCCGCGCGGGTTATCTCCCTGTGTTCTAAGTATAGAAGATAAGATTCGTATCCCCAAGCGGCCATGTAATGCTCTGTTTATTTTATAGATACTGATGAGATTTCCACATAAACACAATGAAATTTCAAAACAACCGGCCGCGCGCCTGAGCGGCAAGCTCTCTTGTAATTGGCTAACCGTGGTAGTAACCATGGCGACACCAATATCTTCACACGTGAGAGATAAAAATAGTATCTTCACTGTGCGCGATTAAGACATAATTTTTTTAATAAGAGGAAAAATCCAGGTATTTTATTAATAACTATACAATAAATATATTTATTATATAGATACTGATGAAATACCAGGATTTCTCCTTTTCCTAAAAAATCATATCTTCACCGCGCGTAGTGAAGATACTATTTTTATCTTTCACGTGTGAGGATATTGGTGTGGCCATGGTTACCAACATAATTACCCAATTGCTGTTTCGAAAATGAATAAAAAAAGTTGTCTTTTATGTGGAAATTTCATCACTATCTATATAATAAACGGAACATTACATGGCCGCTTAGGGATACGAATTTTATCTTCTCGTGCTGAAAGTATCTCTCACCCGTTCGCTGCGCTCACTCGTGAGAGATANACGGCTTTCAACTTGAAGAGCGTCTGACTCCAAGAGGCGTCATGACTTTACTTGTCAATCAGGAGGATCTCAGGCGTGATTCATCGTTTATTACCCGAGAGGTTGTCTGATGAATGTGGTCAATCTTTACAAGGGCGAATCAGAGCTCTAACGATGAAACAATAAACTGCTCTTAAACTGAACTGATTAATAAGGCTCTGTAAATTCAATATATAGCTTACTAATATCTTAAAAGAATAAAAAATATGTTTTCTCCGTAAATAGAAACAAAAAGCAGTATATCGACAGTATCATTGTTTGCAGCGATTCAGACAACAACTCAACTGACAAGTTGTTCAATCAATTGATTCCGGGAAAAGATTTATGCGTATGATATTTCACTTTCGTCGAACGCTTAAACATCCATTCACATGATCCAATTCTGCTTTGGATGGAACACGAACTCGAAAGACTGGCTAAGAAAGGGATTCTGCTTCCAAAGAAATAGCAATTGAATAATACTGAGTACATTCTGAATAATCTACACGGGTTCTCTTAGCTGTGGAGTATCACTGAGTTATTTCTTTCCCAAGAAGCTGAGACCTAATAAGGTGTGTCAAGAGATATTTTGTTAGAAAGCTAATAGACGGTATGCCAAAAACATTATTTCAACATAAGAGAAATCTATGGTGATCATACACGATTGTCCAGTGATTAAAATAAACAATCACAAGTCCTACATATGTAAAAGCTATGTTAGCTTACGAAGAAGGAACTTAATGTAGGCGTGTTACTTTATTTACCGTAACAGCTGTAATTTTTTAGATTCTTAATTATAAAAACTAAGGTTAAAAATTACCGTATACTCGGTTAAAAGTGGTGGCATATTTTGACCGCTTCTTGGTGGAGCTGATAATGGGAAACTCTTTGTAAAATATTTTTTGTAAATCTGTTTCAGTTTAGGGTCAGCCATATTTTATCTCATCATAGTCAAGTGGCGTTGACGTTACCATGACTACTTCTGTGGAGATACACCAGCCACTGTTACAACCATCAGCCGATTGCTACTGGCATTTTTTCCCTGACCGACAAAGACAAAGACATCCATTTTATGTAAAACTCTTAGCAATGGCTTTCAGCTTTTTGTTGCTTTGGGAACTAATTGGAGCATTTTTGTACATGTTTCGTGCTGTTGCTTGCTTCAGGGACCAGTCCACCGCATATCTATGCGAAAAAGACGAAGCTTTCCCTTTTTCAGAAGATATCACAATGGCCTGACTGGCCTCCCTATGTATTTTCACCGCTATCTGTATAGCTGCACTTCGGATAGTTCCACAGTTCCCTGGTTACAAGGCAATCTTACATCATCTCAAATATGTTTCTTCATTTTGGACTTTCATAATTCTTTTAGGTGTCGCCTTGTTTCGATATGTCAAGCTATTAATTTCTATCAAATCTCTGTCATCTTGGGTCGTAATTCTCTTCTTGATAGTAAGTTACATTCTCAGAACTTTGGTTGTAGGATTTTTAAATTACACTAGATTGGACTCCTTAAAGCAGATATATTCCACTTACGTTTTTATTTTATCTAAGGTAACAGTGTGGGTATTTTTTATTGTTACTTTCATCAATCTAATGGCGACCCTTTTGGTTCTGAGCGTGAAAATCGGCGAGTTGCATAAAATAGATCGAGCTAAGAACTCGCTCGATTTGGATACCATAAACGGACTGCTGGATGTTTGGCACGACTACTTTTAGAATTAAGTTAATGAAATTCTTTTGGGAAAAGTTTTTCCTTGACGACAGGAACTTTCTTTGCTTTCATATGCCTTTGGAATGACGTAGAAAGCGAAAATCTTAAGAGGCTTTCTCGTCTCCAGGCTCACTCTGATCACCTGACCTGCGCACTGAAATGACTGTGCCCCCTCTGAGCGAAAAAAGTTCTTTCCATTTTTTTCTTTTACAATTTCTTCAAATGTGATTTGTTGTTAAGACTTACCTCTTATGTAGATAATTATTTTAGCGATCCTATATCGTTTGAATTTTCAAATGTTTCATAAAACTTTTGAAAAGTTTGAGGTAATGAATTTATAGAGTTTACAACGGCTTGTTTCAAATCATCAATGTTGGAATAGTGCGACACATGAAAGTATCGGTGCATATCTTAAATTACAATTACAAAGCCATAGTTTTTCCGTACAGAAGTGCTCCACTTCCAGTTTTCCGAGTCACTTACTTCAAGCCTACACAGAATATCATGAGGCAGCAACGCCGTCGGCAGTTTCTCTCCCCAGGTCGTTTTCTCGAAAGTTTCGGTCGTTAACGTATCTATTGAATTTAATTTATTTGGACCTTATCAATCCTTTCCAGTTCCATTGAAACATTCCCATAACGGATTGAGGTGGCGAGGTTAGAAAAAGCGTATAGGACACTCGAACGTCGCTTCCTTTTCCCTGACAGAGGTAAGTCTTAACCAGGTCTTGTCTATCGAATCTTCTTCGTCTCGGGTTATAATTTTTTTCTTGATGGTAAGTGTCGCGTTCCCNGGGAGGGTCAGTGGGAGGTGGGGGCTGCAATCATCATTATCTCAGGAACAGTACTTTATTGTCAAGGGAGCTAGAATGGGTCATGGGTCCAATCAGGCAGGTGCTAAGGTGGCAGCTGGCACAAAAGAAAAAAATCTGCAGATTTTAAATCTCCAGATTTTGGCAGCTCTGCTTTTAATTACACTTAAATAAACTACCCTCCGAATTTGACTCAATTTATTTCTTATTTTTCCTTTGCAGCCAGAGCTGATGTTTACAGGAATCAGGGTAATGAGGCCTTCAAGAAAGGATATTTCCTCGATGCTATTCACTTTTAAACAGAAGGAATTAAAGTGAACTGCAATGAGAAAGAACTGAAGGCCAAACTGTACAACAACAGGGCAACTGCACATTTTAAACTTGGTAAGATGATGAGCTAAGCTTTTAACCCTTACCCCAGATCTGATTATGAATTCTCCCCTCTAACTGCAACACATTTCCTTGGAAATTGGTCACAAGAATTTGGTTTTCAATCAAGCTGGGTAACAACCTCTACCTGATAAGTCTGAGTATATTCTCATTACCTGTTTGTTGGATTATGTATGGATATTATAGGGAGAAGTTACAGGTTAATCACTTCTGGGAGTGAAAGATTTAAATAATTTTCCCTTTTTTCACTTCTCTGAAGGACTGTAGTGGTTTTCTAAAAGAGTGACAAATTGAACTGCATGCCCCAAAAACAAATTCTTGAATAAAATGTATCCCCATATCTTGGATTGTCAAACATACAAGTAAGTAAGTTCTTACTCCAGAAACCAAAGAGCATCAGAACATTTTCCTAAAATAATCCTCAAGGGGGTGGGTTTGCTACATGTACAGCTAATCAGAGATGTTTATTTTGGAAAAACAGGAAATCACCAGGATATACACATGCAGGGATGTAAAAGGCTGCCGCTGATCGAGTTACAACCAACTTATCTCAAAGCAATTGCTAGAGGTTAGATATATTATGTTTGGTGTTTTCAAAATAAAAGAAAAAAATATTGTCATTCCAGGGATAGACTCTAATAACAGATCAATTAAGACCACTCAGATGTACAGCTTTAGACTGCTGTGATTGACTTTCCATCATGATAAATTTTGAGTTGGGCGAAAAACTCAGTGCTGATTTAATGCTATAAGCAAAATTCAGCATGATTATTTTAATTTCCTTTTGCTCAGTGAGTTAGTCAATGGTGTCAGATATGTATAAAGTCACTATATAATCTAGCTGTTTTTAGAAGCAGCAAGGGCTTAACTTAACTCAAAGATGTGAGGAGACTTGCCTCATTCTTCAAGTATTCAACTTCAGGTGCCATACATATGCCATTATAATAAAAATGACTGAAAAGGTTGCATGAGTAAATTGTTGAAATCTTAGTGAACTTTAAACCTCATTTTGCATCACTTCCTGTAAATCAAACAATTGGTCAAATAAATTAAATATGTTAACTGTATAAACTTAAAGGAAAAAGGTTACTAAGGTATTAATAAAATATTATTTTACTTTCTATTTTGATTGAGCTTGAAACTTATAACCAGCTTATTCCTTATGCACAGTCCAGATTTAATTCAAATTTGGTGAAATTGATAGTTATGTTTGGGTTTAACTAAAAAAATGTATCACAATAAAAAAGTTATAAAAAAGTTATAAAAAATGGGTTTGCTTTTTTATTTTTACATTGCATGTCTTATTCTATTTATCTCTCAGTTATTTTGTGAGAATATTAAGTCCCAATATAAATTTTTTAAAAGTTTGAGTTACTAAGAACTAAATAAATGCAACAGTATACAACTTTGTATTCTTTTCTAATTAATATAATTTTTCTATTTCTTTTTTCTGGTTCTTTTAATTCTTGGAATATGCGATTCTTTATTGGTGTTGTTTCCTGCAGGAGCAAAAATTGCCTGTGTTGAACTGAATAAATTTGAAGATGCAATCACTTAGTGTGATAAGACATTTGCTATATCCTTTAAGGAATCCTTATTTTTCTAGCCATGGGTAATTATATAATGCAAATAGTCAATAACTTGACATTTTGTAGGTCTGGAGAAAATATGAAGAAGGGTATCAATTTACTTGAGTACTTTTTAACTCATACTTAAAGTGTATTAAGTAATTAAAAAGAAAGTGGGAAAAGTTTATACCTCGTGACTTACTAATGATATATTATTATACTCCTTTTAGTAATACCTTAGAGGTCTAAATATGTATGCAGTAATTAAATGATAATAAGATAAATAACAGTTTATGTTCACGGTACAACAGAATTATGTAAATATATTCCAAGAGCAATTAGTTTCTAATATTTGTAAGACTTACCTCTTATGTGTTATTTTAAAAGTGTTGATGAGATTCGGGGAAAGTGAGAAGTAACAAGGTAGTATAGCTTATTGGAATTGG